GAAGGAATATTTTACTGTCTTGAAATTATCTCCCTACCAGCTAGAAATCCTCACTCTTTAAAATCAGTGCAGCCGCTTTGGATTAGCAGAGATTGAAAGTACATTTTTTTTAAAAAGAAGATATATCTTAATAGTAAGAGATATATGGATTTTGCTTTAAACAGAATAGATAGGATCAAACCACTGAAGAAACAACACTGGTACCTGTCTGAAGGAACACATACTTTTTAATTAAAGTGTTGATTTATGCAATAGACTGCCACCTAGTGCAATGAAAATATTACAAAGGAAAATACCCAGGCATCAATTTCAGAAAAATACAAAGCTTGAGGTTGGACCTTGGGGAGAAGACAAGTCATTTGCGCAGGTTCTAAATGAAGGATTATGGAAGGATAGAAACTAGCAGGAGGAGTAGACTATGCATCCCTTTGAGCTTGTACTGCCATTAAGTATGATCAATGACTGATCCAATTTCTATACCTTTTTAACTGCTACCTTCCAATTAAACTTTATCTGATTGGAAATATTTGATCAGAAGTTTCTTTCAATAATACTGTGTAGCGTTTTCTGTCAGTATTCTGATTTGTTCCTTTTTAAGGTAATACCAATTGAAATAGATGCATTCTGAGATCTAAACATAAAGTCCATATTAACCTGTTGTACCTATCTGTGGATATTTTATTCCTAGTCCAGCCTATTTCCATGATATTTGTTTATTCCTCAGCCATCCCATTCAGAATTCATATCCATTGCAACTTCCTTTAAAGGGTTAATGTTGCTCATTTGGGAAGTTTATGGATGGACTCGGGTTCAGAAAAAAATGACTAAAAAATAAACTCAGTTGTGATTCTAACAAGTGACTACCAAGGCAAACTTCCATTACAGTGTATGATATCAAAATGTAATTGATATCAAAAAGTTAGAGCTTTGGATCACTGGGCTGTAATGGCATGCATTCTAGCCCAATAAATGAGACAGTTGACAGCTGGTGCTATGGACGGAAGATTTTTATACTTTTTAACCAAGCATTATTGTATCATTGGGGTGGAGAGAAGTCAATGTAACAATGTTGCTCAAGAAGGACATGAAAGATAAACTGGGTTATGTAGACCAATTAGTCTAACACCAGATAAAATAAATGCTCTTTTAGAATTTCATGAACTATTTAAGGATAGCCAATACAGATTTGTCAAAGGTGAATGATGCTTGACAAATTTAGTAGCATTTATTGATGAAACAATTGTTTAGGTGGACAGAGGGAATACAGGAGATATAATGCCTATGGGTTTTCAAGAAACAACTGATCAGTGCATTCAAGTGTTTTTGCACGAATTCAGGAGAGACAATTGGTTGACAGAGAAGAAACAAAAACTTAAAGTAACTGCTTGTTGCTCTGATTGGAGAAGTGTTAAAATTGGTGGACTAAATCGTTGTGTTCATCCTTGATTTAGGCATAATTTATTCCATTTACGTGTATACATATTTTGGATTTGGGAAGAGAGGGAGCAGAATGTTGATAATAAGTCCTCATTAAAGGGCAGGGAATAGGGGACACAGGGGTGGGGGATTTGTTCAGCTTGACAAACACTTGGGAGGCCAGTGAGAGGCTTCAGAAAGATATGGGGAGGATTACTAAAAGATGCAACTGAATGTCATTAAGTGTGCAGGTAAACAAGGACCAGAAATATGCTCTCAATGAAAAGGTGCTGGACGGTGTGGATGAACAAAGAATTTTAGAAGTTCAAATATGCGATTCATTGAAAGTGGAAATGCAAGTAGAAAGAGCCATTAGAAATGCCTATTAAGATTATAAATAAAGGCATTGAGTATGAGATTAAAATAAATACTGATAAATATATACTAAAGAAAGGTTAGGGTTTAATTCAAGCATGGCTGGAACACAGCATGCTTAGTGCTGATACTACCTTTTTATTCCAGATTTATTTAATTAAATGAATTGAAATTCAGATGTGATATTGAAATTTGAACTCATACCCCTGAATCATTAATTCAAGCCTCTGGATTACTAACTCTGGAACATAATCACTCTGTTCAGTATTACACTGAAGTGTCAACCTAAATTCTGTGCTGAAATCTCTTGGGTGGGACTTTAACTACAACCTTCTGGCTAAGAGACAGAAGTGCTACCACTGAGTCATGGCTGACACCTAGGTTGCGCAGCAATTTAATCCATATGTCAAAACAATTGTGGTAACATTATTGCATCCAAATAGTCTGAAGTTTTCTGGTATCACTCCCCTCTTTGCATAAAAAAGTTAATTTCAGAGGGTTTGCTTTTAAAATCAACCTACACATTTGTAAATAGAAAAGGGTGTTTACATGCAATGCATATGACGGCATCACTTTAAGCTGTAAATCTTTGTTAAGAGTTTCATGATAAAACTGCTGATAATATAAATGTTATTAAAGTTGACATGCAATCAGACCTGGACCCATAAAAATTCATGGTGAGAAAGAGGCTATTTGCCCAATAACATATCTTTACCAGAACAATTCAGTGTTAATGGTTTTATGGTGAGCATGAAACAGAGTCCACAGAGGGATATAGACAGGTTAAGTGAGTAGACAAAAGCTTTATAGATGGAATATGATATAAATAGATATGAAGTTGCACACCTTTGCAGGAATAATGAAAGCTGAATATTACTTAAATGGCAGAAAGCTGTAGCAACAGGTAATAGGAAGCCCTCATGCATAAATAACATCCAAGTTCACCAGACAAAATTCTTAGGGGCTTGATAGGATAAATGCAGACAGGTTGACTTCCCCTTGTGGGACTGAATAGGTCAAGAGGGCATTATCTCAGACAAAGGAGTTACCAATTTAAGACAGAGATGAGGAGGAATTTCTTCTGAGGTAGTAAATCTATGGAATTCATTACCATACAGGGCTGTCTAGCTGGGTCTTTGTATGTTCAAAGCTGAAATAGTCGAATTTTTAATTAGTAAGTAAATCAAGGGTAATGGGAAAAATGGCAGGAAAGTGGAGTTGAAGTTGATCAGGTCATCCATGCTTGCATTGATTATAAGAGAAGATACAAGAGGCTGAAATTTATTTTCATTTGTGGGATGTGGGTGTCGCTGGCTGGCCAGCATTTATTGCCCACCACTAGATGTCCTTGAGAAGGTGTTGGTGAGCTGTCTTCTTGAACTGCTGTAGTCCACCTGCTGTCAGTTGACCTGCAATGCCATTAGGGAGGGAATTCCAGGATTTTGACCCAGTGACAGTGAAGGGACAGCAATATATTTCCAATCAAGAGGGCGAGATTATTGAAGGGAAATTTGAAGGAAGTGATGTTCTCATGCATCTGCTGCCCTTGTCCTTCTAGATGGAAATGGTTGTGTGTTTGGAAGCTGCTGCCTGAAGATCTTTGGTAAACTTCTGCAGTGCATCTTGTAGATAGTACACATTGCTGCTACTGAGCATCTGTGGTGGAATGAATGAATGGATGCTTGTGAATGTGGTGCCAATCAAGTGAACTGCTTTGTCTTGGATGATGTCAAGTTTCTTAAGTATTGTTGGAGCTGCACTCATCCAAGCAAGAGGGGAGTATCAATTACACTCCTGACATGTGCATTGTAGATGGTGGGTCGACTTTGGGGAGTCAGGAGGTGAGTTACTTGTCGTAGCATTCCTAGCCTCTGACCTGCTATTGTACCCACTGTGTTTATGTGTTGAGTCCAGGTGAGTTTCTGGTCAATGGTAACCCCAGGATGTTGACAGTGGGAGATTCAGTGATGATAACAGCAATGAGTGTCAAGGGGCATTGGTTAGATTTTCTTTTATTGTTGATGGTCATTGCCTGGCATTTGTGTGGTGCGAATGTTACTTGCCACTAGTCACCCTAAGCCTGGATATTGTCCAAATCTTGTTGCATTTGAACAGGGACTGATTCAGTATCTGAGGAGTCACGAATGTTGCTGAACACTGTGGAATCATCGGCGAACATCCCCACTTCTGACCTTATGTTGGAGGGAAGGTCATTGATGAAGCAGCTGAAGATAGTCGGGCCTAGGACACTGCGTTGAGGAACTCCTGCAGAGATGTCCTGGAGCTGAGATGACTGGCCTCCAACAACCACAACCATCTTCCTATTGAATGGCCTACTTCTATTCTTACATCTTATGGTCTTAATGGTCCTCATTATAAATTGTCTGGCTCCTTCACTGTAGGGCTGCATTCTGCTCTATTTCAAATATATATCCAAATTTTGCTTAAACAAAGCAATGGACTCTGCCTGAAATTAGCAGATTACCACAAAATGTGAATACTAATGTATTTTAGGGAAAAGCACTGTATCTGACCTTGTTAATCACCACTTAAGGTTAGGGTCTAAATTAGATGGACAATTACCAATGGGAACTTGCCAGGAACACTGGCATCTTGTGAATGTATCACAAAAAACAACCTTTTGGTTGACACATCAATCCTGTCTACCTAAACAGGCAGAGATAAATGATCCTAAGCATGTTCCAAGGACAAAAGGCAGAGTTCTCAGTGACCTGTCAATGTTTATCCTTTTTTCAACGTCACTAAACCAATAATCAAATCATTATTTGCGTGCATGGGAGCTTGTGGTGGGCAGGTTAGCTGCCACATTTCAACATTAACTGCATTTCAAATGTTCTCCATCTGCTGTCAAGGGCTTGACACTTCTGAGGCTTGTGAAGGGCACCCACAAAGGATGGCTTATCAGTCTTGGACAACACTTGGCTTGTATCTACGGAATGTTGTTGAGATCAGCGTTCAAGCGTTGGATTATGCTGCGACCTGACCCTATCGTTTAAAATAGACTAAACGTGCACCTCATCGTCCATCCCATCTTAACGTGTTGCTACAAATGAAAGACTTGCAAGGGATACATTTACAAAATATTCGTTGATCACATGTGACATGACATCTGTTCCAACGTCCATTACCTAGCAACCTCCACTGCGTCTGTTTGTTGCTGGGCAACACATCTCTGTTTCATCTATAGTGTCTGCGCCGATTTTACTGAGTCACTGAGTAGCGGCGGACAGGAATGAAGAAAGCATTTAGAAAAGTCTAGGCTGACTACCACCAGTGAAATAACCGCGTTAACGGTGGTTGTTTCTTACGCTCACTCCAGCAGCCAATGGCTCGTCGTAAAGATCCCTCTGTTTGCCCACGGGCTGGCGATGGGTGAGATAAGTAAAATATAACAGCCCTTGATGTTTCAGTTCATCCCTATCCTCAAAGAAGTGAATGCATGCATTTAAGATGAACGTTAGCAACCTGCATGTAGTGTTAATTGTAATGCGGTGTATTGGCGCTGACGAACGAACTTGCTTTGGTATTCGAAGCTTCATCTCATCGCCGTTTTAGCACATTGTATGACCATCCAGCTGTACCAAACTTGAAAAAAAACACGAATTAGGGCAATGGATAATTTTCAGTGCTGCACCCACGTGCCATAATCTATTACAATGTCATTTGAAAAAAGTGGATCTTGAATTTGCACTTTGGACCCCTAATAGCAATTAACCGGTGTTCGCTGTTCACTTTATTGCCAGTTGGTGACTGTCTGTACATTTTTCTACAGATACTGTGCAAGATAAGGTTTAAAGCGTACGTTTTTACAAGCATGTAAAAGTAGAGATAAGGGAACGAACAATAATGTAACTGTAAACCACTATGTTTTGTGTTCCACTGCACGAGATGCCTGTAAATTACGTCTTTAATTAGCACTGCAATTCAGCCACAAGAACAGACATGTGCTATATAACATTGGCACGAATGTAATTTGAAGTGTTAAAATGTTATGGGCAGAATCGTATATGTGAGTTTTGAACTGTAACGCCGGTGTGCTCATTTAGAATCCATGACGAGAAATTTCCTCCAATTAAATATTGATAAGATTTAAACCATCGTTTTCAATCCCCATTCCATTCTGTCCTTATTGACGAAATGCATCTCTCAGGAAACAGTTTGCAATTAGGCCACTCTGAAGTGATCTTCGGACACTATTTCTAAGAGTATCTTTTTTTCACTTCTGTGATATCATTCAACTTTGACAGCTCAGTTAATCTGTCCTTCAAACCCTCACCCTTGTCTTTTACTTGTAGAGTTGACTATTGGAATGCATTCCTGTCTGGTCTCCAACAAGTGATGAGAATTGATCCATATCATCTAAAATTAAACTGCTTGTGTCTTAACTAGCTTGATAGATCATATTTTGTTTGCTTGTTTTTGATTTTAATGAGGTGGTCTTTGATTGAAACACAAACTCACAATGTTGCAGATAATGTTCCAGCAATAAAACAGAAGCTTGTTATGGAAAAGAAATGAAGATAAAATGGAATAAGCCAAACTGTTTACAAATAATACACATTTAAAGATTTCAAACCAGGCAGTAAAATACAATCCCATTAATCTCAACAGCACCCCATTACAGTACTCAAACAAAAGAGAAAATTCACTTCTCTATCCCACAAAGGGTTTGACTTAGCTGTGGCTACAATTCTTTGTCTGATAACCTCTTCCCTAATTCATCATGTGACTGAAGTTGGACTTTTTCAACTTCACATAACCTCTTCAGGGTTTTAACCAAATACTTCTGGTCTGGAATTTTTAAACTAAACTCCTGAGGCGAATTCTTTCTTAACAGTCCTAAACTGCTTCCCTTTCTCAGGAGCAAATGCTTTTCACATTCAGCTTCAGCCAAGACTTCTGCAAACTGCCCAAACTGAGACAGAAACATTTTGTTTCCTCCAAGCTATAGGTGTTAACCTCATTCAAAAGAGCAAATTCTTCCAAAGTGAAAATCTAATGCACTACTGTTTACTTTGCTAACTTATAATAACCTTTTAAACAAATTTCCATTAGCCTCCCTGAGCTATCTCTTGCAGTCTGTTTTAAAAGGAGAAATTATAATGGCTACATGAAACAATATGCCACTAATTCAAAGTTCAAAATCCAAAATAAATGGTATTAAAATATATATAAATCAGATGACTTACATCACAGTAGAATAAAGCTGCACAAAAAAAGCAAGGTCCCAAGTTTAAAATTGTGTTTGTGATTTGAGCTGGTGCAGAATTTAGTGCAGCTCATGATGGCAGGAGTCATGGCAACCCGGCTCTTTTAATCATAGAAGAGGGCACAGGTTGGTTTCTTAATGGCAGCAAAACCTCCTCCATGAGAACTAATGCAAGCTTCCTGGCCGCAGCTGGCAGGATATTGATAGGCTTGTTAATCAACAACTTGACATCCACTACCAATGGACCCCGCACAATTTGGTAGTGGTGAGGCTGGCAGTCCTTGACAGGCAAGGCCCTGAATACCCGAGAAGGCATAATGGTGCCCAATCAAGTGCCACAACTATGCTTCGTACTATCAGATCTCCTCCATGAAACGGATGGAGGTACCTTGCTGATTCTTCAACTGGTTAGGGCAAAACCCCCTATCAGTCTAATTAAGTCCTATATGCTAGAGTGGTGAGCCTGTGGAATTCATTACCAAAGGAAGTAGTTGATACCAAAATACTGAATGTATTCAAGTGGCGACTAGTTATAGCACTTGGGATGAATGGGATCAAAGGTTATGGGGAGAAAGCAGGATTAGGCTATTGAGTTGGACGGTCAGCCATGATCGTGACGAATGGCAGAGCAGGCTCAAAGGGCCGAATGGCTGCCTCCTGTTCCTATCTTCTATGTTTCTATGTTTCTAGGCATGACTTCAACCAGCAGAGAGTTTTCCCCCTGATTTCCATTGATTCCAGCACCCTGATGCTACACTTAGTCAAATGCAACCTTGATGTCAAGGGCAGTTACTGTCACCTTACCTCTGGAATTCAGCTTTTCTCCATGTTTGAACCAAGGATCTAATGAGGTTAGGAGGTGAGTGGCCCTGACGCAACCCAAACCAGGCGTCACTGAGCACGTTGTTGCTGAGCAAGTGCTGCAAGAATTATTGATAACATCACTTTATTGATGATCAAGAGTAGTCTGATGGAGCGGTAATTGACTGGTTTGGATTTGTCCTCCTTTTTGAGTAAAGGACATGCCTGGGCAATTTTCAATATTGTTGGGTAGATGCTAATGTTGTAGCTGTACTGGAACAGCTTGGCTAGAGGTGTGGCAAGTTCTGGAGCTGAGAAGTTGTCAAGGCCCATAACCCTTGCAGTATTCAGTACCTCTAGCTGTTTCTTATATAATGTGGAATGAATTGATTAGCTGGCAACTGGTATCTGTAATGCTGGGGGATCTCTGGAAGAAGCTGAGATGAACTCCAAAGAGATGGCTCTGTTTAACCAGGTTTAGAGGAGATCTTACTGGGGGTATAATTTCTCTCCTGGACAGGAGTATAGCAAAGTTCAGAGAATAAGTTGCCTTAGTAGACTGTTAATTTGAGTAACTTCCAGACAAAGAGTGTTTCATTGGATACTTGCAGTTTGTTATAAGGCTGAGAAAGTAAAAGCTTTCAGTTTTATGAGTTTTCATGTAAAAGGACTTCACAATTCACAGGGAAATCTGGGAAGAATCAGTTGAGTTGAATTTAAAGATTTGAGATTGAGAGGTAATCTCTGAATTTGATTCTGTGAACTGTTGGTGTAGGAGAATAGGCGAAAACTTCATTTCACTGTGTTTTAAAATTTTCCTCAGTGATTTTCTATATATGAGTAGTTTGTTTGTTTTCCCTTTTGTGTAATAAAGATCTTTTTTATTGTTAAAGAAAATCTGTAGCCTTGTTCGTATTTTCAGTGATTGACTACCAGACTACGATAAAAAAAACTATCACAATAGATTTCATTCTGAGTGTGGGCTTGTCAGTGTTAACATCAGCTGGGATCATAACAAATGGAGGTGCTTGCCAGGTTTTATGTTAATTGAATTTAAGAGGGATCAGTGTTTCTTTTATGGAATTGGGTACATGGAGGTGCTGAACATAACACAGGAATGTTGTGGTGAAGTTTGTTGCAAGGATTTTGATAATCAGTTTGGATGTTGCTAAGAGTTTTCTGAAAGTAGAAGGTATAACAGTGGATTTTTTTGAAGCCTTTGAAGAAGACAAATGGAGAGAGTTAGCAGATAAAGAGAAGGTAGAAATTAAAGCAGGATATCGTAAGCAGGACAGGCTGAAAGTGATTTAGAATTAGAATGAGAATTTAAAATTGAAATGATAAGGCTAGAATTAGCTAAGATAGAGTAGAAATGAAAACAAAAGTGGATTGAGGGAAAAAGAAAAGAAAAATTGAAATGGAATAGGAGGTGAGAGAAATATAAAGATGAATAAAAAAGGAAAGTGCATTTAAAAAGCTTGAACTCAAAAGGTATAGGAAAGTTAGACTACAGTAGTTGGTCAGAAAAAGTGTAGCATAAAGAAGGAGATAAGAGGTAGTAGCTCAGAGGATAATTTTGATTCCAGTCTATGCTTCATGTCTAAATTTATTAAGGATGGAGTCGAAAGAATTTTACTTCATTTGAAAAGATAACAAGACAAATAAAGTGGTTAAAAACGTTTGGATCTGAATGTTACAAAGCATTTTGACAGGTATAGCTATGACTCTATATGCAAATTTGTCAGAACAATCGGCAGATTACAAAGCAGTCAAAAAAGAAATACTCAATGCTTATGAGCTTGTCCCTGAAAGTAAAATTAAAAATTAGAACTACAAGAAATAAATCTTAAAAAACCCAAAGAACTGCAGATGCTGGAAATCAGAAACAAAAGCAGAACTTGCTGGAAAAAAAACTTCAGAAGTTCTGGCAGCATCTGTGGAGAGAAGTCAGAGTTAACATTTCAGGTTCAGTGACCCTTCTTCAGAACATAGAAAGAAACACAAGAAATAAATCTAATCAGACATATATGGAACTTGCAAGAGAAAGTTAAAAGTTGTGGGATCAGCGGCTTAAATCACTGAAGTTAGAGAAAAATGTGCAACATGATGATTATAGAAGAATTCAGAAACAGCATTCACATAAACCTAAACACTTATTTAGATGAGGGCACGTATCAATGATAAGAGAGAGAGCAGATCTCACACAAACTGTTGCAGAGATAGTCATGTGGGATTCCGCAAGGGAATTGGAGGACTGGAAACTCTGTCCATGAAAGATGTATTTGTTTTAAGGAACAAGCAAGGACATCAAAGTAATACAACAGAAAGGCTAAAACGAAAAAGTAATATAAAGAAAATAACA